TGATGGGTCATGATGGGTCATGATGGGTCATGATGGGTCATGATGGGCCATGGAGCCGCATCATGGGCCGCATCATGGGCCATGGAGACGCTTCAATGGTCCTCGGTTCCCATCTCTTTTCACCCGTCGGTTCAGTCGTTTTGGACGAGGCTCTTTGACCCCGACTTGGCCACCACACATGCAGGGCCCGGGGCCGAGCTGCCGGGTCTCACCGGTCAGGAGCTGGAGGGAGGCGGTCAGGTCCTCTTTTAAGGAGTTGCATGAATCATTCAGTGTACACAGTTGCTCTTAGGTTGGAGGCCATGGCTAGTGGAGGCCATCGCTAGTTGTATCTCCTTGCATCATCATGTTAAACAGTTGCGACTGGGACAAAGGACTCTTCCATGGGGTGGTCCCTGAGTCCCTGAGTCCCTGAAACCCGACGTTCAGGAATGGAGGACGGAAAGGATGTGGACAGAACGAATAAGGTGTGACTGAACATTGACTTTGAATTGGGGGATGACTTGATTGACTTCTCTTGATGAGCCCAGAGGTCACCTCCAAAGTCTTCTGCAATGAACTCCCATATGAGGTTTACAATCCAAATGAGGGGGGTTATTAATCCAGAATCTACATTGAGGAGATCTTGCCTCATCCAATAAGAGTCTTGTTGGGGAAAGATACAGAGCTGGTCGGTGACATCACATTCATCATGCTCTCAAAACTCACAAACCGGCAAGTTTCTCTCTTCAATGCATGCTTCACTGAGATATTTTTTTCCTGCTAAACTGCCATTCCATTTCCATGTCCTAGTTCCTCCAACTAGTGACTCGGCACCTTGCACCTGCCATATTCTGCCCACATGCCCCACATGGCACTCAATTAGAGGTTGCCGCTCGCGAGTGAGCAGCGATAGAAAAAAGGATCGCATCGATGCTGTCAATTCGTGAGAGTGTCATTTCTCAAGGCACACTGCTATCGCCCTAGCTCACTAGCTGCAGAGTGCCGCCAAAGTCAATAGCAAAGCAGCTCAAGAGGCAGCAAACACATAAGGCAAAGTCCTGTGCTGACAAATCCGGTATCAGAATTTAAAAGCAAAAAGCAGTCCATCACGCTAGTCTTGCCGTGCAAGCACAGGACATCAATGGACATCACCTTTGCTGGATTGAAAAAAGCGAACAAAAAGACGCTCTAAGAGCGTCTTTGGCGCAGTTCTAAAGGGGTCACGCTCCGGTCCTTCGGTCATCTTCGGTCCTTCGGCCCCTGCGCCGAACGTGCCGATGCATTGGTTTCTACAAATGGGCAGCCCATGCATGGCACGTAGATGCAGCTTTTTACTTCAGGCAGTTTCCCAAATTCTTGAAACACCTTTGGAAGCTCCCATCCACAGTGCCGCCACCGCATATGCTCTCCTCGCGAATCTAGTTGCCAAGGTGTTCCTTTGTGTCATGAACGCCAGAAAGACACCATCCATGGTGCCTCCACGGCACATGCTCTTCTCATGGTCCACATCCATGTAGTTGCGGTCGTTGCCGATATTTTGCATCAATCACCTCCAAGACACACCATCCAAGGTGCCTCCACTGCACATGGTTTTCACAGGTCCTGCATGCATAGTCTATTTTCTAGACTTCGGGTAGTTGCTGAAATTCTGCATGCAGAGTCGCTGGGAAACTACCATTCCTGGGTACTCCTGGTGTTTTCACTCACCATGCTCTCATTTTCATTGTATACTCTGTACTTCAGGTAGTTGCTGAAAGTCTGGGAAGCTGCTACTCTGTATTCTCGCTTCCCATGCTCCTTTTTTGGACCCCGTGGCGATGTACTCCGTGCATGTCTTTCAGCCTCCACAGGTGGGAGGTTGTTTGAAGCTGAAGAATCAAGCCTCGTTCGGAAGCTTTTGGTTCTAGGATTTCTAGGGCTCCGGCTCTCCAAATGACCAGTCCTACCCACAGGTTATGTACTCTTCAAGCAGAGAGAACATATATAGGTCTAGACTCGACATCCTACCCGAAAGAACTTTTGACTGATTGTGCGGTCACACTCATGATTTTTTGCGCCCCTTTTAAAGGAAGCCCCTCTTGGAGCGCTGGCGCTCCCCTGACTCTCTAAGCTCCGAGGTCTGAAAAGATGGACAAGTGTCTGAGCGGAAAGTGCAGCGGACGTGTCACCGGTGTCCGTCCGGCGGTTTTCGTCCGTTTTTGCTTTTCGTCCGGTTTCCTGGAGTCTAACCTCCGAATTGAAAGAAGAGGGAGGGGTCACAGGTGGGAACGTGAGATTCTGCTGACCCAGAGAGGGTGGAAAACCGGAACGGTGGGAACTTCGAGATGGCCGTGCAAAAAGCAACTTTCCGCGATGCTCCAACAGCATCATTTGGGGACAGGAATTTGCCGTAGACCATCCTGTTGGTGTTTTGTTTCCAGTGTCAGGGAGTGTAAGGGAGTGAACGTGCCAGCGGGAGTGTAAGTGAGTCAGGTGCCAGGTGCCAGGTGCTGAAAAAAGGTTGGTTTCACCTTCAAAGGTGTTCTTCTTGGGTGCAGCCTGTAGGTTTGTGTACAGAAGTAGAAATGGTGATTTATGCCTATTCAATCTCAAGACCGCAACTGATGAGAAGCGTGAGAAGGTGTTTTTTTCTAATCAGGGACTGGACCCATTTGACGAAACTGTGACCAAATACTTCAGGCAATGTTGCTTTCGGACTTTTCATTTACAAGATGTTGCGTCGAATCTTCACGAAATGCTGAGCTTTTGCTGCAGTGAAGCAGAGATAACAGGGTGTAAGGGTGTGTGTGCCTCCTTTCGTGAGGATGGTGGTTTCTCAGGATTTCCATCATCAGAAGGTTCCACCGCAATATGGAGGACGAATTACACAACCTGCCGGGGACTTGGACTGTTGGCCCGGGATGGGGGTCCATCTTCTGAATCCTTCTCTCAGACGGTGGGAGAGGGTGGGAGGCTCGGAACAGAGGGTGGCATGGTTGGCATAGATGATTGGATCGATATATTTTCGATGTGTGAGATAAACCCATCTACGTCATCTACGGCCAGATCTTTGCATCTGACTCTTCCATTTGCTGCTCCGTGGTGCTTGTACGAGGTCCCTTTCTTTCCCTTTTCTATTGGATCACGCGGACCAGCCCTGTCCAGATCATGTACATGTCCACCAACAACTGTTTCTTTCGTGCCGCGTTCGAGCGAACGAGAGGAGATCCCTGATGGGACCTCGTCCATGACGTCGATTCCAAGGTCGTCAAAGATCTGATTTCCATTGATGTCCTATCTAGTTTTGGTGGGTTCCACAGCGTCTTATATAATAAGGTAATTCGTGGAGTGCATCACAGGGTCTTGAAAAATCTTCAGGCCGATGAAGAGCGTGACTTTGGAGCGTCCACTCCGGTCTGGCCCCTCGACCCAGTGCACCCACCCAAAAAGTGGCAAGTGCGTGGCGCCGGCCACCCAGTGGCGCCCGATGAGGTTTGCCAAGTTCGACTTCCTTCTGATGTTTCGTGAGAACTTTGTCACCAATCAGTTTCGATGGATGCTAGAGACGGTGATCTTTGTCTATGTGGTGCTTTATCCCTGGTGTGTGGGCGCCCCCAGTGTCCGGGGCCGAAAACGGAAGGAATTGGCCGAAATCCTTCTGGGTGGTGCCAGAAACGCAGCGCAATCCAGTGAGAAAGATGATGCAGATGTCCCGCACTTGGGTATATACAGTAGATTCTATAGATAGAACCCATAGAACATCATCAAACCAAAACGTGGAATCATTCCACTTCACCGTTCTGTTGTGGGGATTGTTGGATGGGTTTGATGGCTTGAGCACGCATCATGGGTGGCAGATTGAGCACGCATCAAGAATGCCAAAGTCTGGTGATTCTGCTGAACATGTCCAAGCTGCAGCAAGCTGCAGGTCTGCAATGAGTCGAATCTCGTCCTCGGTGCCACAACTGCCCCTTTGGCCAAGTTAGTCTGGAGCTTTTGGAGGTTTTTTGTGACCTTTGGAAGCACCTGCCGAGGGAGTACTGCCAGATTCAAACGACATGGAATCCAACAGAGATTGACCCTTAGACATATCAAAAGGAATGCTTCAAAATCCGCCCGAACTCCGCAACTCCACACCAGGTGGGCATGGCTTGCGTCTTCTACGGCCTGAATGCTCTCACGGAGCAATTGGAGGATGAAACACCTCCGTCGATGGGTCAACAGCTGCGACTGCAGTCTTGGCTTTTTGACCCCACAGCATCCACGGCAGCCGGCCGGCGGCATCAGCCGGATGGGCCCACCAAAAGGGCGCTCCTGTTCTGTGCGCAGAGCAGTCGAATCAAGGAAGACCGAAACGAAGCAGTGAATGTGTTGAGTTTCTGACTCGCAGATCAGCGAAAGGATCGAAAGGGCCAACCTGCTGGTAGCACCCAACCTCAAACCATCGCACGCCTGAGAGGTTTATACATTGAGACCCAGACATGGGCAGGTGACTCACCTGTCATCAGAGAATGTGCAAGAAAAGTCGATGCGCACCCAAAATGTCAATACTAGTTATGGACCCCATTTGGCATTCTTGCATTTCCAACACATTCAAGCACCCATCTAGCCAAGACCCTCCCCAAACAAACACCAAGCTATTGCTTTTTCATCTCCGGTGGTGTTTCCTTCCGATCACATCCCGAAGAACAACGACGACAAAACACCATCCCCTTCTTCCGCCTTCGGAACTCGCTCCCGTGGCCGGACGCGCAGCGAACTCGGTTCCGCCGCGCGAGTTCGAGCCGCCTGGGGCAGGACCCGGTGCACCATCAAACTCAAGGCTTTGACCTGCGAAGGACCTTCATCCAACTCTTCCAGGAGCTGATTCGACACATCGGCGATGAATTTTCTCGGTGTTCTCCGCATCAAAGGGAGCCGGGTTTAGCGGGTTCGGGTGGGGGTGAGCATTGAAATTGAAGGTTTGGGGCTGGTGGCCCAGGTGTTTTGTTTTTGTGGTATGGGGAGGAAACTGGCTTTGGTGGCCCTGGCAAGATGCACAAAACTACACCTTCCATATGGCTACAGCAGTGTTTTCAGATTTCAGGGTTGCAGGAGGACTCGTTGCTTGTCAAGGTGTCCAAAGGGCAATCCCATGGCTTAGTCTTTTGCCAACATGCAGGTGGAAATTATTGTGGTGCAAATCACGCCACATGTTTGCCATGATCTGGTTCAAGTAGCATGCCCTAAATGAGAGAGTGAACATGAACACTGCGCTGGAAAAGGGCGCCTGTGCTGCGCTGCCTGCTGCGCTGCCTGCTGCGCTGCCTGCTGCGCTGCCTGCTGCGCTGCCTGCTGCGCTGCCTGTGCTGCGCTACCTTCTCTTCTCGGCATAGGTGTTTGAGACTCTATGACTCTATAGTCCTCGAAAGTACCGGGAATCGTCGTTCAACTCCGTTTCATAGAAAACAACGACACGATCGATCAGGGTAGGTCCAGGGCAGGTCGTGCATCGATCTTTGGTTCTCAGAGCTTCCCCTCACCGGGCCCGAACGCAGGAGTTGGATCGTGACGAACGCGTCAGAGATTGCACCTTGGCATGACGAAGCCTGAATCGAAACCTGATGTTTGTGTTTTTTTGAACATGGAAACATGTTTTTGTCGAAGCCTGAGGGAAAGATGTTATGCAGCATGTTCATTCTGCTTGTCGAAAAGCAGGGATTTCACCAGCTTGTCTCAACAGATGTCCCCCGTCCGCTCAGATGCTCGTCATTGGATCAAGCACTGTAAGGCTGGAGCTCATGGGCAGGGGCAGGAACATAGGAGAAGGCTCTCAAGGGCATAGCCGTTCCTTGGTTCGTTTCATCAGGTGAGACTCCTTGCTCCTTCAAGATCGCCGGAGAAACTGATTCCTTCAAGTTGCCCCCCGAGTCCAGGTCGCTGAACCCGTCGGTGTTCACCCGGTCGGCCACTCCAAACGTTCTTCACCACGCGCTGCGACGTGGTCTCCACTCATCTCGTCCCAGGGCCCCAAGAACGATAAACCCATCTCCGAGGAGCCTCCGTTGCGACGCGGCCCGTTGGGGGAAATGGCAGGAACACGGCACGGAAACGCGGACGGCACGACGGCACCACAGACCGTGGTGTATCTTTGTTTGTTGTCCAAAAACCGGACTGTGGTTCAAACGGGCGGAAGAACATCGCTGACAGGGGCTGGTGGGTGGGTGCACCAAGTAGGTGTTTGTTGTTCAGGACAGGTAGTGCAACCTGAGAGCAGCAGTCGTTTGTTCAAGTTTGCAGCAGGTTTCACTTGACCAAGATCGCTCATCAGGACAAGAAATAGACACTTATCTTATATAGTTATAGTTGTAGATATGCATCATTGGACATGGATCCTCTAAGTTTGACCATATCCTTCATTCTGTAATTATGTTCTTTTGGGCAGGATGACATTCTCTCATCAACGCCTGGAAAGTCCACAGGCTTTGGAAGGAGAAGACCCCTGGACTCAGATCAAAGCTGATCAAACCTCATCGCTTTACCAGCTCGGGCCACGACCTTGGGTGGTGCCGCACCGCGGACAGCAAGAAGGTTTGACACGTTTGACAGTTTTTTAGGATCTAAGCCGCAAAAGCGCGGAGCAAAACACCAGGGTGGGAATGGCACTTCTTCGCTTGAAGGGCAGCTGCGAGGCGGCCATGAATTTGGTAGATCAGGGGCTCCTAGATGGTACTCTCTGGTTCAGTCATCAGGGATCAAACAATCACTTCGGCCTCTCCCCCTCCCAGCAGATTCTTCAGGAGCTGCATGAGAAATTCCTGGACCAGATGCGCGCGGGGTCTCCCAGCGAACACAAACACCAAGCGGTTCGGTCCAAGCAAACCTGCATCAGGTATCCCAGGTCACCAATGAGTCACCAAGTCTAAAGTCTGCTCTCCATGAGCGCCCACGCAGGAAATAGACCGTGAGCGATGCTCTCCATGACTCACTTGGACGACTCGCGACGCAGATGACTCGAAAAGCACACCATTCGGCCGCCGAGGTCGATGAAACAACCATGTGCATGTAGCTGGAACGCGTGGCCTTTCGATGTGGATTGTAGTTATCCAAGACAAGATTTCAAGACGTTCTTGTTCATGTACAACTGCGAAAGCAACCAGCAGGTTAGGACCCCAGCTGTCACCACACAGTCAGACTGCCATGTAGACTGCTTGCCTAGGGAATCCCGGACAACCCCCCCTTCTGCGACATTGTGTGAGCCGCTTGGGCTAAGCGGCAGCATTGAATCATGCCACTTACCCTCCCAAAGCTAACATGGAAGTCCACAGTGGGTCTGCGCCGTACAGAGGCCTGCTGCGCACTTCCACGTTAGTTTTTGGGATGCAGTGCGTGGATGCTTCCAGATATGCGCTTCCATCTCCCCCAAGCAGAGCCTCCATCCTTGTTTATGTTGGGACAGTTTATTAGACAGAAGCTTCAAAGACAGGTGAAACGATTCCCAAGGAAGACATAGGAAAGTTTGCTTGATAACGATGCTGTCTACCTGGGTCGGCTGTCTACCTTCCACGAGTCGATGAATCGACTGCGTAAGCGTGAGAAGGCTCAAGCTGTAGACCATGATCTAGAATCTAGGTGAGAGTCGTGTAAAGGTGAGAGTCGTGAAGCGGTGAGAGGATGAAAAAGGACAGGCGAAGCTCGAATGAGTTGGAGTTGGCCCGCCCAAAGCAAGGAGGCTTCATGGCACCAAAAACAGAGGAGGACGTTTGAGAACAATGCATGTTGAGGTGTGGATGGTATGCACCCATTGTTTTGATCAACAAAGTCGTGGTAAGTGGACTGATCTGGGCAGTTGGCTATGAGCGAGCACTTGATGGAGGGCGAACACCGCCTTCAATTGCTGCTCGACCAGTTTCACTGGCCCAAGGCTATGAACCCACAGCTGGAGGAAAAGCGTGTTGGTCTGTGGCGGATCGTCGGCGGGGATTGGCTTCGGGTGCCGTTCCGCGTAGCCTCCGCACGGACCTTTCGGCTCCAGCCGCCCAACGAAGCTGCCGACCTCCGCGGAGTACGGAGGTCGCTGCGCGGAGTTTCGCGCGCGCACGCGCAGGCCGCGGCGGGCTCAAAGATGGGTGGAAGGGGCGGAGGATCGATGTTGCCAAGGTGAGTGGTAGAGTCGATGGTTTGAGTGGGGTCCCCAATAGGCTAGTAAACAACAAGATCAACAAGTTGAGGCAATGGGTATGGCATGGTTCGTTGCTAAGGTACCAGCACAAAGCTTGCAACAAAGCCACCCTCTTCGCAAAATGCCAATGTGTCCCATCACTGTGTAGTGAAGGTCCCACCACCATGAACATGTCAAAGGCACCCTGAAAATCTCTCTCTCTCTCTCTCTGTCCCTGTGGCGAGTGCCACGAGAACAACTGAGCGGAATGTCCGACTGGCCAAGCCCCCAGGGCCCGCTGGGCCTTTTACCCTTGTTCTGCTAAGAGCCTCAAAAACGGGTTTTGTTGTCCTGCCAAGGCCGGTGCGCAAGGGAGGTTTTGGAGGGATGTGGCAAGCTACTGGGAAGAGATGGACTTCTTGAACCAAAGAGATGGACCAACTTCTCCAGTGCACTTGAATTCCCGAATGTTCAAGCCTCGACAGAGAATTGAGGCATGGGTTGCCTGAAGAGGGGCTCGAGCTGGCTGGTTCTGCTGGTGACGGGACTTCGCACAGTGAGTGCTGCCCGCTATGGACGCATCCAATGCCCAGGAGGGTTATGTTTTTTCGGACTGGATGGTCGGGTTTTGAAGTGAGCAAAATGAGAGGGCTGTGCTCAGGCACTGGTTTCGGAGCGAAGTAAGGGAGAGTAGGCTTGCAAGGCTGGGTAGGGCATGGTTGTAGATCAGCTATGTGTTTGTGTCGAGCAAGATTGACCCCACTTCGCAGGAGCAAGAGAATGTCGCATTTCTTGAAACAAACATGCGTTTTGGGTGGTTCAGCTTTTCATGAAACCAGGTAGCTGTGGCCACGCCAGTGGCAATGTCTGATGCAGGAACTGCAGGCTGCCATTGCAACTGCCAGATGGCCAATGCGCCACAGCAACTTGAAGCGGTTATGGCAGTGAGTCGGACAACGATGCACCCAAAAGGCATTATATATAGCATATTATAGCGTGGGTCTTACACATCACTGGTGCCACCATTCCTCAGTCTTCGGATGTTTGCCAGGTGTTTTCTGGCCCAAAAACAACTCTGCTACTCTACACCGCACCGTGTGGCCAGTGGCTGAAGAGCGCAGAGAGCGCCTCGGGACCATTTGACCGATCAAACCCTACCAATTCCCAAGCCGCAAGTGTTTGATCTCAAATACATGAAAGGCTCTTCAGGTCCTCGAAATCCGCCTAGGATGCCCTTGCCAGCTGCTGTCCCAACCATGCCGCTGGGCCTTCAGCCTCCACTGACCGTGCCACCTCAAGC